AATATCCCATTGTAAGAGAAACACAAACTCATTATCTCTAATAATTAACAGGTAATACTTAACAGAGGACAAATAGGAATCCAAGGCAGAAGCAACTAGCTTTCTAAAGATCAGTCAAATGTCTCAATTGGTGACATTTATTATTTTCTCCCCATGTTCATTTGGAGGTTTATCTTGGAGAGGTCATTTCTATGAAAGTTATTTCCTAGGTGATTACAAATCTAGTTCCAACAGCATGTTGGTTTGATGTTTGCAATGTGTTTAAAGGATTGGGAAAGTATTCATTTTATAAAGTGATGGGAAAAACCCTGGAAAATGCCAAACATGAGTGCAGTATGATCTTATCTGTTGAAGATTCAGAAAGAAATATTTTATAGAGACACTCATCTGTGGAAATCTGAGGTTATGTTGGCTGCCCAAGTCAGGTAACTTTGGTATATGAAAGATTGTGGCAATATTTGTCATTCAGATCACCCAGGACTATCAGTTACTCACATAAGACTACAACCTTAAATCGGCTGTCCATGAACATTTGGTTTCATACACAAGGCACTGAAATCATTTCCAAATGAAAAATAATGGGCTCAGAAAAATATTCCCTCAGACTAAAATGGGAGACAGACATTTGAAGACATACTTCAGTTTTATTATCTTTTAGGCATAGATGGGCATGTTAATCCATTTCCACACACAGTTCCTGTAATCACCGACAGGGAGTGAACTTTGAGCTGGGAAAACCTGCCTCCTTTTGCCAAAGAGTTAAAGTGGAGAGAAGCTGGAGCAGCAACCTCAAATGGCGAGGACTGGTTCATCTTCATTCTCAATATTGTTGATGTAGATATTGGTTCACAAACGTTTTTCTTCTTCCAATCTCTGATGTAGTGGACAGTGTTGTTCCCTCTGTCCCTGCATGCTTTCTGCTTTCGTTCTGGAGCATGCCATGTCAGATGGCCCAACTCGCTAGGGTTTGACAGCTATTTCTGGAATTAGTTAACTATCACAAGCTGAAGCCAAAGTATTGTAGTTTTTAACCCTTTCTTCTTAGTGTCACATTGCTGCTTTTTGCAAAAGTATCTTAGCAGCTGTACTTTGCAGCCTTTATCTCCCACAACCAAAAGAAAAAGAAATTATATATATATATGTAATTTCTTTTTTTTAGTGTTCATGTTTTATTTCAGAAAACAGGTGTTTAAAAATTTTAGAATTTCCTTAAACAAAACTCTAAAAAGAAAAAAAAGGAAAAGAAAGCACAGTATTTACAGAGATAACAGAATGGCTTAGCCATGCAAAACAAATTACTTTGGTTTTTTTTTTCCCTTTCACTTTGGTTTAAATGTTGACCAAAATTCAATTTTTTCCTGCCAAATAAAACTTTAATAAATCAAAGTTTAGAGGCAATATAGCATATTTTCTTTTCCCTCTAATATTTTATACATTATAGAGTTTAATAGGACATCTTACATATTTAATCCATACCAATGTACTACAGGAAGCTTTTATTAAGACATCAGTCACTACTGCCCAGACATTTTACAAATTTACAATAACAGTTAGTTTCTAAAGAATGCAGAAGTGGCAAAATATCATTCCTGACTTCCACTTGAATTTAGTCTCCAATTTTTCTGTTAACTTCTATTAAAAAAAAGAAAAAACCTTTCACTGGCCTGTTCAAAAAAGAGTCACTAGTTTCCATTTTTTCGTCTCCCCTTCCCCTCTGGATAATTATTTTTTTAAACTGGAAATTTGATGCTGCTTGTCCACAAAATTATGTTACACTCGGGCCAAAAATGGCTGTGTCGTGTTTATTCAGAAACCAGGCTTCTGCATGGAGGAGGAAAGGTTGAAAAGGCTAATCACAAATACACTATTGGCCCATATCCAGTCTACCTCGAAATGTTTCCATTTATACTACCATCCTAAAAATGTCCAAGCGTAAAACATGTTTATAAAGTTACAAATTTGAATGTAACTAAAGATACATAGACATTTCATTATTACACTTTCATGTACTGTTTGATAAATTAGGTACCAGTTAAAAACACTAAATTATCTCAAGGTGCATTCAATATCTGTAGCGTAGTTAACAAAAACAAACACACACAAAAAATATATATTCTATTCCTGTGGAAAATAAAGCAGCTCTGATAATGACCACTGTTGAAAATCTCCAATTCTGACTGATATCTTCATCAAAGAGGACAAAAAGTGTCTTTTTAAGGCAGTGGAAAACCCAAAGGATACAAAATCAATTTGAAGTTTCAGTCACGTTAAGAGTAATGGAAATGGGGATATAAGCCATGATTTTCCAAAATGTTATTGATTCATTGATTTACATTTTTTTTCTTTTAAGAAATATTCCCAGCAACTATCTCTATATGTAAGTACTATCCCTAATTCGGTGTTGATGTTTCTTGACAACAGGCATCTATTTCATTTTAGGAAACCTGTTGTTTATATGTTAATATGCTTGTGTTTTGACTGGTGTTAGTTTGTTGTATGTACATTGAAATAATGTTTTTCAACCTGACGTGTGTGTGTGTGTGTATTGAGAGAGAGATAAAATCACATCTTTGAATAGAGTAACATGTGGTACCCCTACCACATGGCCACAAGTTTCTACCTTAGGGTTTCAGGAACTTGTGATAAAATTTGAGGCATTACTGATAGCAATCAGAATCAGAAATGTACCTGCTCAAAGAGTATCCATAAAAAACAATTGAAATAAAAACATTACACTATACATCAGATTAACAGCAACTCCCAGAACAAAGCCTTATAGTGTATAAAAATAGCTACGTAAAAAATTTACATAAAAGGCAAACAAAAAAAAGAAATTCTCAGTGCAGAAATTTACAGAAAAAAATTCAAACAGAACACAACATAGTGACCTATTATCATGGCTGCCAAAATTTGTTTTTTTTTCCTTAATTTTTCTATGTTGTTTTACTTGAGATAATTTTCTAAAATCTTGTGACAGCTTGGTAGAATGAACTGCTTAACACTTGAACCATGAATAGCTGTCAATGTCTTTGTATATGTCTTAAATACAATCCACGTTCATGCTTCAATTGGTCTATATGTTTTTTTTTCTCTGAAAATGTGGAAAGAAAAGAAATTAACCAAGGTAAATTACCATTAACAATCAATATGTATCTGTCAATTGCAGTTTGGGGACAAATGTTGTCATATATATGAAAAGTTCATCTTTGACCTGATTCTTTTCTAGCTCTATTCTTAAGTTTATGCATCTTTTCTACAGTAATTTATTTGAGATTGGTTAAGAGTTTTGTTGGAGGGGAGGTGTTGAAGGAGGGGAATTGCTTAACTTTGACAAATCTGAAAGACCTACACACAGAAGGAACACCAAGCATTTCATCCCATTTATGTATTGGGTAAAAGTACTTGCCCTTTCCCCAAAATCATACTCTACCTTCCCTAACCAGAAGGAAAATAATTTGAAGTTCAAATCTTATTCTGAAAATATCATACCCAATTTTAAAGAAAATGGATAGTGAAATGAATCGTATAGCAAAGACATGGAAATGTTCCTCTGAGTTGTAAATTTGAGAAACCTGAAAGTCAGAGCTCCAGTTTGAGAAGGGGTAAGAGGCATTCAGGTGCTGAGCACTTTGACATCCCAATCTTCTGATCTTTAAAACAAGCCTATGTGACATCAAATCAGTTGGAGGTATTTGTGGATCTTCTCTCTCATAAGCCTCCCCTTCACTCCTACATCTTTCTTACCCCGTGACCAGATTCCACTTTGCTTTCTTCCACTTCAAACCTTACCTTACAGGTTTAACCGTAATGACCCTTCTATCTACTGTGGTGGACATGGGCCTCACACTCCAAATGATATGCATAGACTAGCAGTGTATATCATTCTCACTAATGCCCCAAATTCTCATATGTTCTAGAGCTTAGAGAGGCCTTTTGTTCAGTCATTTTTCAGGCATGATCCCATTTGAGTTTTTTTGACAAAGGTCCTGGAGTGCTTTGCCATTTCCTTCTCCAGCTTATTTTAAAGATGAGAAAACTGAGGCAAACAGGGTTAGGTGATTTGCCCAGGGTCATATAGGTAGAGTCTGAGACCAGATTTGAACTCAGGAAGATGAGTCTTCCTGACTCCAGGCCTGGGAGTCTATCCACTGCACTACTGAGTTACATTAGCAGAGCCTTAGAGATCATTTATTTAATCCTCTCATTTTCTGGGTGAGGAAACTAAGCGAGGAAGACATAATGTGTCTTGTGCAAGATGACAGGTAGGACAGCTATAAGAAACAAAGATGGGATTCAAACCTCTATCTTCTTGCCCCAAAGTCACTTCTTACTCTACCATATTACATTGCCACCTATGCTATGTCTGTCTGGGCCATGGGAACATGAAAAGTGAGAAAATGTAACTATAACTGCCTAATTATCATCCTCTCTAATACTAGAGAATGAAATACAGAAGTCACATACCTCTACAGATATATAATCGCTCACTGTAGTTATAGATAAAGGCTGAGAGTGAGCTGCTTTCCTTGTGTTGGAAAGTTTTTCAAGGGAAGTTTAGATAAATATTGTATCACTCATAAGCAAAACTTCTGCATTAAAATGCTTAGATTATATTTTTACATGAACCTCTTCCTTTTCTTTCCCCAAAATGAAACCATTAGAACCTTGATAATACTCTCACAATATCGTTAAAACATCATCCCATAGAATGAGGTTTCTTGGGATTCTGAAATCCTATTGGCAATGAGGTCAAAAAGGCAAAAGTTAAAATCTCAGGGGTGATATTGGTTATTCTAAGGACAATGGTTTTTTTTATTCTGTGAATTTCCAATCTTTGGGCTCACTAAAGTGCTGTGTTTTACTCCTAACATCTCTTTCAGGATTTGAAGTCCAGAATTGTGAAATGAGAACCTCAAAGTCTCTTTTCCTTTAATCTCCTAGGATACTTCATACTTACCCACTAAGTCATTACATTTAGACCTTGTGTAAAGTTCACCTACCTGTAACAGCAATTGGGGGAAAAATATTTCTCTTAAGCTTCTGTTTTGTGATTGTTTTCTTCTAATTTTTTGTTTTCCTCCATGTTTCCCAGGTCTTTGTTTACATGTTTTGATGCTGTCCTATAAAAAAAGTAAGATAACCACTATTGTATGTGTCACATGTCCATATACTACCATTAAGGTTCAAACTCATGCATCTCTGAAAACTGAGCGTGATCACCAATACACATTAGACAAAGCACCAGTGTAGTGATGGGGAACCTGCAGCCTCAAGACCACACGTGGCCCTCTAGGTCCTCAAGTGTGGCTTTTTGACTGAATCCAAACTTGACAGAATAATTTGGATTCTGTCAAAGGGCCACACTTGAGGAAATAGAAGGCCACATGTGGCTCAAAGATACAGGTTCCCCACCCTTGCACTAGTGTGAATAGTTTCAGATAAATTGAAGACCAGTTAGTGGAATTAACATTGTGGTGGAGTTGTGTTTATAGGCATAAGATCAACCAAAAATTTAATTATCTTTAATGTATACTTCAAATAATCAGTTCTCTCTTGTCTTTTGGTTGTACAATTTCCACCTTCCCCTATAATTATTTTAGGGAAGTACTAACTCCTTTATAGATAGAGTTTTCATCTCAGCAGATACTACCCTGAACACTAAGAGTGGAACAAGGCACCTCTTTGGGGTCTCCTCTCCTGACTAACCTGACCAAAGCCTTGTGCACCCAATTTCAATTTCTATTTCAACAAAGAAGAATTAGGTGATGGTATACAGGAGTGGACCCTAAAGGCCCTAGGGCTCTAGCAGTGGCATGGGTAGGAGATACTTTGTGGATGGATATCACATCACAATCTTTGCTTCTGTCTTGTTATTTAGAAAACCTGGAAATACAGCAGCAGCAAAAGAAATTGGATGTTAAATATTGTTGACATTTGTCACTCTTTAAGCAGTTCTCCTCAAATCCCTACATGGAAACTTCAATTTCTAGATTCTTCAGGTAAACCTAGAAGAGGGCAAATATTTTACCTTTCTCCTAGATCCCTGGCACAATGGTGCAACAATAGAGCTCTCTGGTCTTCCAGTGTTTTTCTTTTTTTAATATATTTAAAGCATTCAGTAATCCACGTAAAACATTAGGTGCTCCTTGGTTGAGAAGCTCAAGGAAATGCAAGCTTAATTTTTTTTTAAAAACTCATTGTGCCTATAAGAACTTATATACATGCAAAAGATTTCTGGAACTCTTATGGCTAGAATCACAACTTTTCTGGGAAAAGGGAAGGAGCCAAGTATAGTATACATACAGGAGAGATAAAGACTTATGACTCATTCAAATTAGGACACTTAATGCAAGTAGTTTAGGATGAATTCATGAAATAAATGTTTAGCTTAGTTTGAACTATAGCCTGTAAAATCCATTCATTTAGTGTGTGAGGAACTCTAGACCAGTTCGGTAGAGTCCCTTAATGTCATGAGATCTTTTCAAGGTCAGAAATTCCAAGATGCAAATGGAAAAATGCAGTGAATGAACTCAACAAAGTAAATTCCTTATGTTAAATTACTTTATCACATGAATATTTTCTTTCTGGCACTGTAATTAAATGAGATAACATGTATAGCATTTTATAAACCTTGAAGAGCTCTATAAATGTTTATTATTATTGTTAACTGCAATATAAAGGTACAGGGCACACCTGCATAAATGATCCAATAAAGTATATTAGAAACATTTTTGCAGAGCATAAGAGCAAAAAGTTCTAGTACCAGCTCTATAACAAACTAGCTATTATGACCATTGAGTAACTTAGTTTCCTTATCTGTAAAATGAAGGCTTTGGACAGGATAACCACGGAAGTCCTTTCCTGTGGTAAAATTAAATAGATCTAGAAATCTTTGTCTCTAGTCCTCCTGTGTCCATTTTAAATTTAGCAGTACAGATTTTATGCAAATAGTGCTCAGCCTTTCCAAATAACAGTCTGAAGGGGATGTTGTCTCAGATAATCAAAATCTAGCATATGATTACTGATTTTATCTACTAAATTCATTTTTAAAATGTGATGCATCAAAATTATCAGTGGTTCTTGCAACAAATGATCCATATTTCATCTAATCCAGGGACACATAAATTTCTTTTGGCATTTACTCATAATATTGGTCTTCATCAAACTTCTCTGTTCTTTTATTAAGGTCCTGTGTTCTCAAAGGCTATGCCAATACAAGCTTAACCTCAGGAAGATGCTTTCAAATTGGAAAAGCTTTGACTACAGGGCCAGTGATGCTTTGTGGATCTGTCATCCACCTACCAAAAGGACCAATCTCACTGAGTATTGGAGAGGTTAATCACCAGAAGGCCTGGTGGTAATGGTTTTCTCCCCACAGCAACTTATGAAATTATTAAGGACCAGATGGGCTTTCATGTGCTTCCTAAGTGAGAAAATACCATCACTGATAAAATATCAGATCATATGAAGTATTGGAGTTAAAGGCAAGTAAGTTTATCATCTTATCTTGCATAAAGAAAATGGAGAAAGAAAAACCGAGGACACAGTTAAGTTCTTCCCATAAGTGCCCAGAATACTGTTCTTGCTTCTTGAGTAAGGAGCTTGAACAACACATTTTGCTGATGGTGATTACAGCATATCAATATCATAGCCAAGCACAGAATCAACTACTTTCAAGTCTATATTTTCTATCACCTTACACTGAAGTGTCAGATACATGTGTGGATACTATGTAGGTGATGCAGGAGTCATAGAAAACTATTTGAATCAACCCATTGGGGGAAATTAAGGGAAATGTGTCCAAGACTTCAGAGCCAAGTATTTGCTTTGCTAACTTCACTAAGGGCCAGTGTTATGGGATAGCAATCTTGAGTGAAATGTGACTTTGAACTTGTGACAACAGTCTCAGTATCTGCTGGGGACATCTCTAGTACTCTTTTTTTTCTGTCTTTTCTCAGTCATGGAGGTAAAGAAAATGACAACAATAATCTAAGAGATAAAAGTACTGAATGTGAAACCAAGCCCAAGAATAATTAACAGAATAAGTTGTTTTGACAATGAACTAAATAGCTTGGGAGTGTAGAAGGCTCTTAATGATTTTTTTTTTTTTGGTTAGGGCAATTGGGGTTAAGTGACTTGCCCAGAGTCACATAGCTAGTGAGTGTTATATGTCTGAGGCCGGATTTGAACTCAGGTCCTCTTGACTCCAGGGCTGGTGCTCTATCCACTGTGTCACCTAGCTGCCCCTTTAATGATCTTTAAAAAAAAAACTTTATCTTTTCCATTAAATAAGATGAAAATATGAATATGAACATGCAATAAGGTTACACTGAATCCAGTAAAGGATTGAATGTGTTGGTGAAAGTTTGTTGGTAAAACAATTACATGTCCCTAAAATTGGGAAGATTGAGATTCTGATGTTATAAGAAATTCAAGGGAAATGAGGAAAGAGCAAAGGAGAGAGGATGAAATACTGTGAGCTTGCTTGTGAAGTTAGTTTTCTTGGGGTTGATGAGCTTTGGAAAGAAGTAGGAAAGAGATACCCCTGTATGTCAACATTTGTATGAGAGTGCTTCTGACAGAAAGCATCATTTAAGTCTTCCCACTCGACAACTCTAAGCAAAACATATGGCTTGGTTAAGAATGGTTGGTTGTGATTTTACCTGTCTGATCACCTGTGGTTGAGGTAGGGAGGTAATGAATGAATTCCTGTTGTTGTTAGTTTGTATTCAAATTCATTTTCAGCTTCTGATGAGTATTGTGAATTTTATCTACTGTGAGTCATTGAGTAAGAAGATAATAAAAAAAGTCCTAAGAAATTGTTCATGGTTGTGCTAGTCTCCTGAATGCTAGAACTTTGTGATTCTATCCAAAGGAAAGAACCAAACATGCCTTCAGAGTCTACTCCTAGAATCTTAGAGCTGAAAGAGGACTTTAAACTAGTGAAGCAGGCTTTCTGTAGCTGCTAGGTGGATAGCAGTGTTGTTACTTTATAGTCATCAAATCATTTGCCTTTGTTTATATAAAGTTGAGGGACAGAGATACATTTTCTTGAATCAGAGAGATGCAGAAATGAAGAAGGAAACTAACAGTGGACACAAAAGTTTGGAAGTGAAAACAAGTGAATTGCTTAAGCTCTGGTCAAAGGATCCTTAGGTCACTGAGTAAGTTTGGAATTTGGTTTTCTCTATATCCCAACTGGCTGCCTGGACCTATTTGTGAATAGGCAGGTCAGGGTGAGGTTGCATACCTGCCTACAGCCATGTTTACTATTCAGCACCATATTTAAAATGCTTATGTGTGCATGTGCATGCATGTGTATTGGGTGGATATAACAAATGGAAAATGAATAGAAGACGGCATTTAGTGTAATTGACCTAGCTGTAACCCATCTGGGAAGCTAAGCAGCAGTTTCAATTGTCTCAAAGACAACCATGCAACAAAAGCCCATTAAAAAAACAAAACAAAACAAAAAAACAAACACTAGTTGTCTTCTGTGAAGTTCTTAGAAGGGTTAAAAATGTAGATAATTCAAAGAGCAATGGGAAGCTTCACAGTGGACAGAAATAGGCTAGGGACTGTTATTCAAGAAGTGGTCTAAAAGACATAATGGATGAACTATGTGACTATAAAAGGAGGTAGAGGGGCAGCTAGGTGGCGCAGTGGATAGAGCTCCGGCCTTGGAGTCAGGAGGACCTGAGTTCAAATTTGGCCTCAGACACTTGACACTTACTAGCTGTGTGACGCTGGGCAAGTCACTTAACCCTGATTGCCTCAAAAAAGAGGTAGAGTGGTCACACTTAAGTCACTGGGCTTAGAGGAGCAGGTGGTAGAAAGAACTGGTGATCATTGAGTTGTAGGCTATTGTTACTGATCTTTGAAATATTATAGAAAATAGAGGAGATACTGCAGCACAAGAAATAGGCAAATGTTCTGATTTTCAAAAAGGGATGAAGGCAGATCACAAAACTATAGGCTGGTGAGCTTACCTTCAATTATTAGAAAATTTCTATAGAGTACTATTAAGTGAATGATTTCAGGGCCTTTAAAAAGAGAAGTGATCACTAAAATAAATCAACTAACCATTTAGCAATTATTAAGAGCTTGTGTGCCAGGTACT